GAGGGTTGTGCTTTTAGTTTCTTGGAAATTATATTTGGAAACGTCTTTGCTTCACTGATGAGCAGCCTGGGGTGTGTAGGCTGCTTGGGTCTTTTGGAGCTTCTCTGTGTGGCCCACAGCTTGATTTCAGCAACGCCTTGGAAGGAGGCCGTATTTGCCTTGTCCTCCTCGGCCCACCTTTAGGTTTGTCTTGCTCCTGCACTTTGATATTTCTCTGAGTTTGACAATTGCCACACTTGTTTCTGCTTTCCTGGCGGCAGTTGTAAGCACCAACTGTCTCTATTTATGTGTGTGTAGGGGAGGGGGTTGGAGGAGGGAGGTGGGAGAGGCTAAAGACCAAGGCTTTACCAGAAAAAGACACTCCATCTGGGCAGCTTGTCTCAGATGCAATCAAGTCCCATGGGTGAGAAAAAGGGGTGGCCCAAGCGGGGATTTGTGATGTGAGGAGGCCAACGGTGGCTGAAATGAGTCATCTATCAAACATTTAAATCTCTACTCCAGCTGCCACTAAGAAGAAATGACTGATGAAAATGTAGATTTCAACTAAGTGAACTTAAAACTGCTTCTTTTTGTTGGGAAAGGAGGATGGTATTTTAAAACCTGGTTATAATGTACTCTGAGCAGATTGTCTAGAATGGTGCTGTCCAATAAGATAGCCACCAGCCACATGTAGCTATGTAAGTTTTAATGAAAATTAAACAAAACTAAGAATTCAGTTCCTCAGTCCACTAGCCATCTTTCAAGTGCTGACCAGCCACATGTGGTAATGGACGACACAGGTATAGAGCATATCCGTCATTGCACAGTTCTGCAGGAGACCACTGTCCTTCTTAAGGATAAAGTTCTTTTTAAATGCAGTTTGTTTTAAGGACCTACATTGCCCTTCAAGGTTATGCAGAAAGGGGAGGTCTTGGGAGAATCTGGATGGGAGAGTTTGAGGTAAAAAGGGAGGCAAGTTGCTCAGGATGAGAAGAGAATATAGTTTTTATTTTTCTCTTTTGGTTTGAGAGGGGGATTCTTTTTTTTTTTTTTAATTTGGAGAAGTGGCATATGGAAAAGAGGAAAAGGGTAAATTGGAAAAGGACTCTGAGGGAGAGATTAAAAAAAAAGCAACAGCTACATGCATCTTGGTGGGAGAGTGGGGCAAATGTGAGGACAATGAGAAACACCCTTTGGCCAGGCTGACTAATGAAATTGATTCAGTGTAATCTCTGATGTTTAATCTGAAAGTGTGTTCTGTTGTGTGCTGCAATTCTCCTCTGCTATCACTCAATCTTTAGTAAAAGTCTATTTCACACAATGTCCTTGTTTCTGGGATTTGACGATATAATGGATTTAGGAAGAGGCACAAGCTGGAACTGAGGACAGAGAGGTAAGAAGACATTGAGCACATGAGTCATCGCCAAGAAGAGTAAGTGCCTAGGAATTCTAGGAAAGACTGGGGAGGGCCCTGGGTAGCCAGGGGATGGGACCGTCAGCCCTTCAACATGGATATGAGAGGAAGGGTTGAGTTAGAGGTATTTGGATTGCATGTGCTTTAAAAAGCACTGCTGTTCCTCTCCTCTGCAACAGAAAGATCTCTATTTTTAAAGATTTAATAACAAGCATCGCTTGGAAACAAAATATACTTTGCATTTAAGTAACTTCTAACTCAAATAAAGTTATGTTAAAAAACAGATTTAGCAGTGGCATGGGAATACAATCAGAGGCTACAATGCAGGCCAGTTACATTATGCAGTTTCTGAAATTTGGGGCTCCTTCAAAAGAAATCCCTCAGTAGTGCAGAAATAATAAAATAATGCTTAAATACAGTCGCACCGATTACATTTACTGACAAGGTAATATATATCTTTAGAAACAGTGGCTAGTAAACACTTTATTTTCTGACCTAGTCAGTGCTTACCCACTGCTTAAAACACTTCCCTGTCTTCTATAAAACGATCTGTGGAACATAATTCAATGTTTACCTGCTCCTTCAGGCCATCAAGATAGTTGTCATATGGTGCTCAAGGCATTTCTACCCCCTTTATAAATGGCCCCTTTGCTATGATGCTTTTGGGATGCTCAGGTTGTTTTCTCTAATTCCAGTTCCTCCCACGTGCTGTCAGCTGTCATTTCTCACTGCTACTCATACACAAATTGTAGAAACGAACTTTTTCTGTTTATGTTTTGTTGCCTTGAATATTTTAATGGCTGTGGCTCCAAAGAGCAGACTTTTATAAGATTGGGAAACAATAAGAAAAACTGGCTACAGTCCAGCTTGAAATACGATTTGGCTTTTTGGCTTTATATGCTGCTATGAAGAGACATATTTACTTTATGAAGTTCATTTCTTTTTCCTGTTTTGCTTAAAACCCTAGTGAAATAGCACTTAAGAAAGCTGAAAGCTGAACTAGATTGCATTTACTACTTGCTCAAGGTTTCTTTCCTCCTAACATTACCTCATCTGTAGAAGAACCTAGAAGAAAAGCAAATGGCTTTCAAAGCGTACGTAACCAGTGTTTTCTAAATGTGAGTGAGCTGTGACGATTAATAACCACATAAAATCATCATGCGAAAAAAAATAATTCAATGATGATGGACTTCCAGTTCATCAAATCATATTTCACTTTATTTACCAAAAAGCACTTTTTTCTCTAATAAGTTTCTGCTTATGTGACAGTAGTAGAGATACTCAGCCGGTGACTACATTTAATCTCTTTAAAAAGAGTAACTTGAAGCCATGTAGTACTTTTTATTTATGTTATAGATTTCTAGAGCCTGAGAAACTACCTTAGAAAACCACAAATCTTTGGGATACTCTAGTAGATTCGGGGAGTGACGTCTCTCATCACTTATAAAGGTCATCAAGAGCCATCATCTTGGTGACGCTGGTACCAAACCCAGACCTGGCTTACCTGGGAGAAAGACTTGGAAATGCATCCAAGCTAGCACGAGGCCTTCTTTGCTAAGTTGTGTAAAGTGGGTAAAGGCAGTTAACTGCAATAAACTTACTTTGTATGAGGCTTGAATTGTATCAAATAGTTGATACTGATAATTTTTAATTTAAAAGATGAAAATGTCATATGGTTTACCCTAATATTTTGTATCTGCTGAAGTACATATCTCCACATGGATCTCAAGGATTATCAAGTCTTCTCACCGTTTCAATTATCAAGAAAATGAGCAAACAAAACAAAAACAGACTGAGTTAGAAATAATTATATCTAAAGTCCTTCTCGCTACTAGACATCTACAGTGAGTTTGGCACTTGTAGGCATTCTATTAGTCCCTGAAGAGATAAAATTAAGTAAAATATAGTTTTTGACCTCAAGAAACTCAAGAGTATAGTAGGAGAGACCAAAAAAACCACCCAAAAAACCCAAATTAAATAAAATATGAATGCAGTGTAATATGTGCAAGGGTAGGTAGTGGCACAAAGAAGTTATCAATTCTTATTGAATGAGTCAAGGAAGATATCAAAATGGTGGAGATTTCTCTTCTGGGTTCTGAAGGATGAGTAGGAGTTCACCAGTCAAACAAGGAAGAACAGGTGTCTTTCAGGAAGAGAGAGCAGCATGCACAAAACATGTAATAGGATAGTTTATTGGGGGAATTATAGCTAAAGCAGAGAGTGTGCATTAAGGAAACTGGTGGGAAATGAGGTTGCAGAAATCGGCCTGAGCCAGATTATGAAAAGCCCTATATTTCATTCTGACCAGTTTCCTTTATCTTACAATAGGAAGTCATGGAAACATTTTAAATTGAGGAAGAACAAGTTCAGATTTATATTCTCAAAAGATTACTCTATGGTCATAATTATTTGGAAGAAAAAGAAAAACAAATAGAAAAAAAGAAAAAGAAAACTGCCAAAGAATTAACAGCGGTTGTCTCCAGGTGGTGGAATGTTATTTTCTATTTCTTCTTATGGCAGAGAGCAGTTAGCTGCCCTTTCTGGGAAGCAGTAAAGTTTCAGTCATATAAATTAGCTGTCACTTTGATACTTAAATTCAATACAAGGAATAGTGACTGCATTAGGGCTTATCTTCTGCCTTTCTCAATTTTGTTTACTTACAAAGCAACTATGGTATACATCTAGAGAGTATTATGATACATATTTTGGAGAAACCACGTCAACCAGGATTGAGTCATTTCAGCCCACAGACCTCATGAAAAGGCCTGACAATGTGAACATCTGGGAGGACCACCACAATTAGCCACCATGGAAGTTCCATTGATTTTGAAAGGAACCAACTCTGACTCCAAATGAAATAACGACAAGTGTTACATTTCACTTTTCCTTAGCGTCAACAGTTTCATCACACACCCTTCTCCAATTCACTGCAAATTTAGGTACAATCTATCAACAACAAAAAAAGCATTTATAATGCTATTGAGGTTTTACGCCACCTACTTAAACCTTCTGAACAGATGGATGGCCCCAAACCCCTGCTCTATAGAAAGTCTGGAGCCATTGCCACCTTGCAAAGCCACAAATAATAAATAATAGAAGCAGAGTCATGTAACACTTAGGTCAAAATATTCTGTATAAATGAAATAGGCAAAGCAAATGACTAGCACGAAGTCCAATCACTATTACATTTATAACAAATAGAACGTTTTATGTAGAAAGCCTGCCAAAAGCACTTTATTAAGCAAAAAATGTTACTACATGAAACCCATCTGTAAAATGAAGATAATAATAGCAACAGCCTTATAAGGCTGCTGTGAGGAATTAAACCATTACACATAAAATGCTTCAGAAGATTGTCTGGCACACAGTGAGACTCAATAATTTATTGTTTCATTGTCATTATATCTGGCACGTGGTAAGTGCTCAATAAATTATAGTATCATTATCATTATTGTTATATCTCATAACTTGCCTCTTTCCAACAATTACAACTTATAAATCTCAAAGATGTTCCTACCTCTGTCAAAGGCTATTTACTCAATACAGTAATTAAAATGAAATAATTATAAGAATGTTTTGAGAGACAATATTAATAGCACTTCTTTACCTCTTCATATCTGTCAAAAATTGCTCCTTCTTGCAAAAAGGAAGGAACTTCTTTCTGCCAGTTAAATTCATAAGGTTTGGCCATGATTATATTCAAGACCTAAAAATGAAAAAGAGTATCTCATTAGTATGCAAAATTTAAAAACAAGTGAAGATCAAAGGTTTATCACTTTCTATTTATGTGTTTGCAAAAGCTTTTCTTCACACACATGGAATAAGTTCATAAATTGTTCGTTTCTTTCTTCTTTTCTTCGTCTGACCTCAACTTCCCTTTTCCATGTCTCTAAACCTGGAGAAATAATATCATTAGAAATGCCACAGGTGGGGGCGGCCAGTTAGGTCAGCAGGTTAGAGAACAGTGCTCACAACACCAAGGTTGCTGGTTCGACCCCCGCATGGGCCACCGAGCTGTGCCTGCCATAACTATATTGAAACAATTACTTGATTTGGAGCTGATGGGTCCTGGAAAAAACACACTGTTCCCCAATGGAAAAAAAAAAAAGCCACAGGTGATAATTTGGGAAGCTCCCCCTCCCTCTTCAAATCATATAAAATAATAATAATAATAGTAATAATAGTAATTCTGATAGTATCAGATAAAAGAAAGAAACCACACACCTAAACCTATATAGAGAGAGGCCTGCTGCAAAAAGCAAGTGGTTCAACAAGCCTATAGTATTACGAGCCTGAAGATGAGCCTGAAGATGAATGCATGGGCAGGAGGAGTCCACGGGGCGACGGGCTGCCGAATCGAGAGTGGGTAGCTAGAATTCTTTGTTGCCCTTGGTCCTCTCTTTAGACCTCTCTCACCCACTCCTCACATGGGCCACTCAGAGAACAACAGAAGTCTGCTTCTTTGCAAAGACTGTGAGTATGATATTGAAAGAGAGCCTGGGCGTTGTTTGGGGTGGCTGTCTGCAGCTAGGAAGAACAGGGTGTTCCTTTTATCCGCTTTTCGTAGCATCATATACCATGATGTATATATAATAGCTACAAGCAGGACATTTTAAATGAAAAGGTGAGCACCCAACCAAGAATCACTACATACTTCAGCAATGTCAAGAACATGGGAGATACACACCAAACAGAATAAGTAGAACTTACACTCAAGGAAACAGAGTGAGCAGGACAAACAGAACCTGACTTTGGCTTAAGTATGGCTGATGTCCTCCGAGGGAGGAGAGAATGCATTCTGTTCCTAAAACATAGTCCTCAGAGGGAGGAGAGAATGCATTCTGTTCCTAAAACATAACTAAAGATGCTGGAAATTTACAAAAAAAAAAAAAAGATTGTTAAAAATGAACTTTTAATAGAGTTATAAATAATCTTTTTAATTCAAAGAATTTTTAAAAATGCAAAAAATTTTAAAGAACATAAAAATATGAATTATAAAGAGAACACAGATGAAGGTGAGACAAGGGATTCTTACAGAATGCAACACGAAAAGTCACAGAAAGGATGAATGAAAAATTTAGAGATGGAAAATGGAAACAGAAGGTTTAATGACCATCTATATCTATATATCTGTATCTACACCTATCTTTTCTTCATTCCCTCTTTGTACTCCAGCTACCCCACACACACATAACAATCTTAAAATCTAATCATGATTGGGTCATGAAGGAAACCTCAGCATTTTTCAAACGGCAGACATTAAAGGTCATGCTCAATGACCACAACTAGGCCAGTTGATAAATTAATGACAGAAAGTGCACAAAATTGATACACTTGGGAAATGCACATAAACACATATACATACTTTTAAACAATTCTTGGGTTAAGCAGAATTGTCAAAGCAGCAATTATAAACTTCTTAGAAACAAACTATCGGGAGCATTATACATGAAAACCTAGATATGTAACATGTAGTCAAAAAACAATAATACGATGATCAGTAAAAGTTCATTGTTTTCTGAATATTCATATATTAGATAAAAATTTGACAAGTGTTGGGGAGAGAGGGATTGGGGAGGGGGAGTGAGGATGAGGGGAAGCGTAAACTCATAATATTCATGGTGAAAAGGGGGGTGTAATTACAAACACGAAAAGGTGAAAGCTATAACTGTGTGTAACCTGAATTAAAATCTTTGAAAATGTAAAGAGGATGTTTTTCAAAGTTAAAAAAATTTGGCTCAACAAAATGAGACTTAAATATACCAGTGACCTAGGAAGCAATTGATAAAATAGTAAAATATTAGGGCCATATGGTTGCACAGGTGAGTTCTACCAAATCTTCAAGGTAAATCCTGTGTACCCACATTTTCCAGGACATTAAAAAAGAAGTAAAGCTACTACTCAACTCATTTCACAAGTCCCATGATCAGATCCTCACAATGATACCCCAAGGCGCTTAATAAGAAAAAAATCAACCAACTCTACAGCTCATTCTCACTTAAAGAGAAAAAATTCTAGCTAAAATATGAAACAGTTTTTTCCACAAAGTTATTAAAAAGTATAATTTAGGATGCTTCCACGCTGAATACAACGCAATGTGATTCCCTCCCTAAGCAGATTAAGTAGAAAAGTCTAGTGTAAACATATCATGGCACACCTTACAAGGTGAGGTGAGCCTGACTGTGAAAGGTCTCTAACACATACCATTACGTGAAAACAGGAAACCATAGAATGATATAAAACACAAACACTGGGATACCATTTACCTAAATACACAGCTGCAGGATGATACGACCAGTGTAATACCATTTATGTAAGTACACATACACATAAGACAAATATATATTGCTCTAAGTACATATCTGTGTATATAAATTTTTTTAAAAGTTTGGAAAGAACCTTCCAAATTTATGACTCTGCTTATTTCTGAGGAGTAAATAAGGATTGGGGCTGAAAATCAAGGTTATTTTTAG